CCCCCCCCCCGGGGGGGGGGGGAGAAATCCGGGCTGCTAAACGCTCCCTCTTTGTTCTTGTCGCCCTTCCAAGCAAAGATGAATCGGGAGATCATAGTCGATTTGCAATCTCCAGGGTAATCCCACATCCTTCCGACGCTCCATGCCGGCTCCTTTTAAACTTGGAAAAAGTGAGCAGCCTGGGAAGCAGTGTTGCCAGATGACCAACATTTTTATAGCCCAGCAAGCTCTCAAAAGTAGTCCCCAAAACCGCAAACGCCAAACATTTCCCGCAACTGATCTCTCCAACCTCCAACACTGGGTTGGCCCGCCGGAGCGCACGCGGATCCCGGACGGGCGCGGGGGATGTGCGTGTGCAAGCGGGGAGGCGTGCAAAGCGCGAGAGCCGGGGGGCGGGGCTCGGGAAGGCAGCAGCGGAGCAGCAGCTGGTACTGTGCTGGGCGGGAGGAAAAAATGGGGTGGAGGCTTTGGCATCAGGGTGCCAAGAGTCCTGGAGAGGTTGAGGAGTCCAAATATGAAGGGGAGGGGTGTTGCAAGGTGTGAGCCCCCTTCTAGTTTTGCAAAGGGTCCTTGGGGGAGGAGGTGAAAAGGGAGAGTGAGAAAGGAGAAGCTGGATTTGGGGAAGGAGGGGCTGGTGGTGTAGTGAGAGGGGAGGAGGGAGAGGGGAGGCAGCCGGCCGGGTTGGCGTCATCTGCATCCCTGCCATGCATTTTGCAGTTAATCATCCATGACACTTTGCTACATTGCCCCAAAACCGTGACAGACCCTTAAAAGTAGCCCAAAATAGCCCCCCAAAATGCAACCTGCAAACAGCAAACATTTCCCACAACTGATCTCCAAAACTAGCCCAATTGGGCGGGAAAACCGCCCCGCTGGCAGCACTGCTGGGAAGGTGACAGGATTTTGTAGCCAAAGAACGAACAAACCAGGGGCCGTTTGCACCTTCTGTCGCCCCCAGAAACAAACCTTAAAAACTTCACCAAGAGAAAACCGAAAGGAATTTCTAAGGACGCCGAGAATAAAGCAGAAAACCAGGTGTCTCTTTAGCTGAAGAAATCAGGACTCGCTAAAGTTTGCTGTTTTGAATATGACTATTAAGATTTTAATAAAGAAAGATAAAAATTAACAGAAGCTAATATTCAGAAGAAACAAAAGAAAGGGAAAAAAAGACAAGGCCAAAAGTGCAGAAAAAAAGAAAACACAAAGAAGTAGCTTCCAGTTTTCTTTACAGCAGTTATAAGTATAAATTCACCTCTTACTCTATGTTTACAGCATGCCTTTCATTTTTTTCTAAAATCTGTTTTTTCCTAATATCAAAACCATGTATCATAAGTTTGTTTTTTTCTGTTTCGCGCAAAAAGTCCAGAGGAGGAGTCGCTAAAGTTTGGAACAGCAGAGATTGTCACCAAGACCAAACGTTATCCAAGGGGCAGAAAAGGGGCTTTTTTAGCACAGATCTGAGTACAGATAAAACAGAATCCCCCTTTTATAAAGGCCAGCTCCTGAAGTCAGACATGTTGGCACGTTCTTGAGCAAGCTGCTGCTGTGGGGAGACAGAAAATACTCCCAATAGAAGAGAATATAGTAGCTCGGGGTTGAACTGTGGAGCTCTTGGTGCTCTCTGAGCTTGGTGGCTGGCTTGCTGACATTTCATCACCCAACTAGGTAACATGAAACGTCTGCAAGCAAACAGCCAAGCTCAGAGAGCACAAAACGCTCCACAGAAAATGCTCAAAAGACTGGAGGTTTTCATGGCTAGCAGTTAAAATGCTCACTTACCCTGAGATACTCTGGAGTGGGGTTGCAATGGTCGTAAGTTTGCGCACAGGTCGTAATTCCACTATTTCAGTGTTGTAATTTTGAACGATTGCTGAATGAATGGTCATTAAGTGAGGACTACCTGTATTTCTGGCAGCACTGTTGTACTGAAGCACGTCATCATTTGCAAGTTTAAATATAATAAACATGATCCCATGGCTGCAGTAGAAGATAATTTGTTTTTGGGAAGATAACGATTATTCTGATGTTATTGCCTGTTGCTACGCTGGGTGGTGCCTTTTCCTTTTTGCCAGCTGAGTTCCGTAGGGACTTGTGGAGCAATCAAAGCAGAGAGTGGTGAATGGAGATGAGTGTGTGCAAGGGTGGGAAAGCTGAGAGATTTCTACTAGGAGGTTGAAGGAGCGGGTGGAGCAGTTACAGAGAAATCGGCAAGGAAGGCATAAATCAGAACAGCCAAGTTAAGGAGAAAGAGAAAGAGCAATGTTACATTTTCATCTAGAGTACTAGCTACAGGGGCTTGAGACGTAGGAACATCCATGGTTATGGGGTTCTTTGGAAAAAAATCTCCTTTCCCTACTTGCATTCTGGAGAGCTGCGGGAAAAGGGAACACGCGTGCACATGCACACGCACACTTCGGAGCAGAAATGAGCAGGAGGCACACCCAAGAACCCAGTCTACATAGCCTCAGGGAATCCCCTAGAACAGTGTTTCAACCTTAGCAACTTGAAGATGTGTGGACTTCAACTCCCAGAATTCCCCAGCCAGCCATGCCGGCTGGGGGATACCGGGGGTGTGGAGCCACGCGTTTTAAAGCAGCCCAGGTTGGGGGGCGCAGCCCCTGGAGGAGTACGGGGGGGCGGAGCCTC